TGGGACCTGATATCAATTAGCGTGAAATAGAGCGGACTGTCGGGAAACTCACGACGTCTTCTGTGATGAAATCAAAAAAATCGAAGGAGTCGAGGGATCCTTCAAAGACCCGTTGCGCGATGTATCCATCAAGGCTCATAGCCGCCACCAAGCTGTACCGCAACCCGCGAATGAATACATCCTCGAAATCAGCCGGGATCCCAATCGGAGCGCGACCGTAATGGCGGGAGACATCGTGCTCGTTCTTGCTTGACTCGTCGACTGTTACAAACTCGCGGCCGGTCCCGCTGAAGCCTGATTGGATGGTGTGAAGGTAGTCACGGCGTTGCTCGACGTCGCGCTCGACAGCAATCTTGTGTAACAATTTCCGAGTGAGTCCAGCTCTCTCAAGTGTTTCCTGGAGGGAAGAGATGGAGATGGAGATATCGTGGTGGATAAGAAGCCACCACTGGAGTTCCATGAGGTACGTGTCGGCGTGCTTCGTGTATATTTCTTTGATTGCCGTGAGTGCAGCCAGACCAATGATTCGAGGACGTCCTATGATGGGTGACGGTGGTGGAGATACGGACCCGAACTCGTCGAAAAGAGCGGTCCAACGATAGATACTAGACTGTGAGACGAGCAGGGTGGAGCAGATAGCATCGCGGTCCCATACAAGCTCCCACAAGCGCAATGCACATTCCTTTATGTCGGAACTGATTCTGCGGTTCACCATGGGAAAGGTTGGAAAAGAGGCGGTGAATGGGGGCGGGGAGCAAGAGGAAGTCGAGGTGAAGACGAGAAGGTGCGAGATCGTCGTGCGCACGCATCGGCGGCCTCGGACCGCTCCCCCTTTAGGAACTTCCATATTGGGAAACGTGTGAAAAAATTTGGTCATTCTCATTACTTTCCGGATCGGCTGTAACGATACAAAAAAAGTTCGCCACCCTCGTCTCGTCGTAGGTGGGTGGGCTAATGAACACAGCAGTCGTCGTCGTCATCTCGTAGTCGGCTCGTTGTCATCAGTAGTAAGTAAATACAGCAGCAGGCAATCTACCCTCGTCCAAACCCAAACCCAAGCCCAATCCCAAGAAAACAATGCATGATCACCCTACTCCCATTCCCATTACGACGCGCCCACCTCCGCATTATAACAACTCCACCTCCACCCCACCCTCCCCCGCTATCCGTTCACCCTCGACTCCAGCTATCGGCAGATCAGGATCAGGAATGTGCGCGTGCACGTGAACCTTCCTCCCACTCTCCCCCAACACATAATCCAACACCACCGGCCTCGACGCCAACGCCAACGCCTTGACGAGACTCGCGCTCATCCGTCTTACCATCACGCGCGGCCGGACCGCGCGCAGAATGGGGCGCTGCGGCCGCCACATGTTATTCGAATGCCGCAGGGCACGCGAGAGGAATGCGAGGCGGTGTGCGAGGGAAGAGTAGTGGGAGGAGGGGAGCCAGCCGGGAGGGTCGGCGGCGTTGCCGGTGGCGCTGGGGTAGTAAAACGGCGAGGACGAGGCACCCGTCGACGCGCGCGCGCACGGAGGCGGCGCAGGCGTAGTGTTACGCCACCCCACTGTGGCAGTACAGTCGTTGGGGTGGCGGAGTGCCGCGCGTCGGGTAGATATCCGGCGCCAGGGGTGTCTCTTGCTCACACCCGCGCTCGTCCCCTTGCTCGTAGCACTCGTACCCCGCGCCCTTGTCCTAAACCGCCTCACAAACCGCCTCACACACCCCGCAAACCACATCGCATGCAGCGGGAACACGAGCGCCAGCATCCCCGCGGGGACGCGCGTGGCGGGGGTGCGGGCGTAGGAGACCAGGAGGACGAGGTGGAGGAGGATGCGCGTAGCGAGGAAGGTGACGGCGAAGAGGGTGTTGGAGCGGAGGGGGAGGGAGGAGGGTGGCGAGGCCGAGGAGGAGGGTTGGGAGCTGGGGGTGGGTGTTAGCGGTTGAAGAGGAAGGAAGGGAGAAAAGTGAGGGACGGGGAGGAGGAGGAGAGGGAGGGAGGGGAGAGAGGGTAGGGCGAGGATGTGGGGCGTAATGTGAAGGATGACGCGAGGAGTAGCGCGAGGAATAGCGGAGGGTAGCGCGAGGAATAACGCAAGGAATAACACCACGAGGCGACGCGAGAATAAGTATTGACTCTGTCGGGCGTGCGCAGGATGGCTGAGGATTAAAACAGTTGGATGCACACGTTTGAACCCATCAAGCCTAAACGGGTGCTCGCCTGTATCACCCTGCGTCGCCGCACGGTCCGATGCCCGACCAACGTGCGCGTCTGCGTTCAGCGAGCCCCTGCGACGTTCGTGGAGGGTGAGGAGGCGGTAGACATATTGAGTCATACTAAGTACGGGGCGATTTTGGAGTGACACCGCCGTGTATCAGAATGGAGACCCCAGAAGAACGCCCCAGTCCCAGAGAAGCTGCCTGCGCCTGCGGCCCCGCAATCGTTTGTCGTTTAGCCGCCGCCGCAGACTAGCTTCGATAGGTATCGTCGCCGCTGTCCGCTCCATAAAAACAGAGCGTCAAACGCAGTCGCGCCTCATCGACCTCGTTCGTCGCGTCGCGGCATATCCCTGTACGAGCAATTAACGGCCTGCACAATTGGCATTATTCCAAAACAGTAAAAAAAGCGCACCCGGGTAGTTGAATGAATAATGCGAGACAAACGCACAAACGTGGGCCTTTCCCTTTCCTGCTTCACCCTTCCTTCCTGCTTTTGTAAGGTCTCGTGAAGCCTCGTTTATCTCGCTCTATTGGTCCAGGGCTTCCAGTTCTCGCCATTGTACAAGGCCTTCCCCGTCGCCGTCGGGAGCGCGGGTCTGAGTCCGCGGGCAGATGCACATCTATCAACCATGCGAGGGCAATGTGCGCGCCAGTAAGCGCCCACGAAGCGCTCGATCGATTCGTTGGAGGCAGAGGACGAGAGGAAGGAAGATGAATTGCAAACGGCGACGGATACATCACATCGGTGACCCTTACGCTCTTTCTCTGATTCGACGGCGGCTTGTTGAATTTTTGGCCTCTTTCTTGAACTTTTTCTGCGTCTTCGGTTGGACTTGCGCGAGACGAACGTTTGAAACCGCAGACGATGGAATCAAAAACAAAACCGAATGTCTCGGGAATAAAAGGAAAGTGCTCGCAATGCATGTCCTCGGCGGGGATCGAACCCCGCTGTCCATTTACATCTTTCTTGAAAATTGTATAAGGAATGGATGATCACCATGATCCACAAGGGCTTTCTTACTCTCAAAGTGTGGTGAACCTTGCGAGATTAATGTTGGAGCGCAAGACACAAGTACTTTCCAAACGTGAGGTGACTTTGATTTGTTTTTCGGTACATATTGCTACATACATTATTTAATTCTCCAGAACACTTGCAGTTGAGCCGACATTCAAGGCGGGCAAGTGCTGTTACTGCGCACTCCAAAAAGAAAAAAAAAAACATCCTTGCAACAATATGCTCTCGGAGGGAATTGAACCCTCACTGTCCATTCATATTCAATTTGAATTATTCATAAGGAATCAATGGATGATCCCCAAGATCCACGAGGGCTTTCTTACCCTGCAACTGGGGCTAAGAGGTGTGCAACTTTGGTTCAACTTTTTTTTTTTAGTCCCCGCAATTTCATTTCTCCAGAAAATGGTATGTAGTACTTGAGTTGACATCCACGGCTGACGAGAGAGGGGCAAGTGTGCTGCTGATATGCTGTTGCTCACCACAGTACCTTAAATTCCAGAAAAAAAGAAAAAAAAAGGGAAGGAAAACACCCCGCTAAGCTCTCGGAGGGAATCGAACCCTCACTGTCCATTTATATTTAACTTGAATTATTCATAATGAATATTAATGGATGATCCCCAGGATCCACGAGGGCTTTCTTGCCTTGGAACCAGGGAGAATAGGTGTACAGTTTTGGTTCAGCTTCAATTTTTTCTGTGCTTCGTTTCTCCAGGAAAGGCATGTACTTGTGCTAAGTTTGTGCGGGGGCCAGGGCGAATGAAAAGAGCTGGTCTACTGCTGCGCACTACAGTGACTTCAACTGCAAAAAAAGGCAGACTCCATGTAAGCCCTCGGAGGGAATCGGACCCCCACTGTCCATTTACAATCATTAATATTTGCATGAAATCGTTTATAAGGAATGGATGATCCCCAGGATCCACGAAGGCTTTCTCCCTCTCGGCGCTAGGGTCAATAGGTGTGCAACCTTGGTCCAACTTCGAAGCTTTCGGGTCATTACTTTTCCAGATACACACTGCAGTATGTTATGTACTTGAGTCACCCTGAGGTCAGGGAGTATTCCCACTGGCAGAAAAAAGGGTATGTGTCTTGCTACTGCCCACTGGACTACCTTCAAGTCAAAAAACCCCATGACTCATGCCCTCGGAGGGAATTGAACACTCTCTGTCCATTTACATCGTTTGTCCTTAAATGAGGGATGGATGATCACCACAATCCACGAGGGCTTTTTTACCTTTCAACTGGTTGGGATAGGTGTGCAACTTATAAGTATGCAATGCACATTGGAATTGAGCCTACATACCTCAAATTTTGTTCAGCTTGAATCCTTTTCTGTCCTCTCTATCTCTCTCTTGAGTCAAGTTTGTTGGTTCAGGCCCGGGTTCGCCACTGAACAAAAGGCAGTACAGCAACAAGCTTGACTAGAAAAAGCTTGACACGGCAGACGCCACCATATCCTCGGAAGGAATCGAACCCCCGCTGTCCAGCGTCAGTGAGGTTTACAACAAAGTAGATGGAATGATCACCATGATCCACGAGGGCTTTCTTCCCTTTCAACTGCCCTGGATAGGTGTGAAACTTACAAGCTTAAGGTTGGAGGCATAAGTACCTACATTGAATTTCATTCAACTGAAATCTACATTATTGCTTACTTCAAGTTCTCTAAAGTCAGTCAAAACTCAAGCTGGCTGTTGGCAATGGCCGTGGTCCAAACCGACTGAATTCGCAGTAGTAAGCACCAAAAAACAACCAAGTTCCTTTGGCGTTATGCTCTCGGAGGGAATCGAACCCCCGCCGTCCATTTAGATTCATTCCACAATGGAAACTATTTATGAGGAATGGATGATCGCCGCGATCCACAAAGGCTTTCTTACCTTCCAATTGCCCTGGATAGACCCATTCTGGTTCAAATTTGAACCTCCTCTGTGTGTTGATGTTCCAGAAACACCTCAATTGAGAGTTAACTCAAACTTGGTCTAGGCCCGGGTTTGCCACTGAACAAAGGGCAGTACAGCGACAAGTTTGACTAAAAACGTTTGACACATCAATCCTCAATATGCCCTCGGAGGGAATCGAACCCGCTCTGTCCATTACATTTAACTTTCTAGGAAATTGATGATAAGGCATGGAAGATCACCACGATCCACAAAGGCTTTATTCATCCGAAAGTGGGGTGAATAGGTGTGCAACCTTGGTTCAATTTTAATTTTTTTGGTACCTGCAATTTTATTCCTTCAAACGCACTAGGCAGTGGTTGAGTTAACATCCAGGGCTGACAATAAAGGGAGCCGGGTGTGCTGCTACTACGCCCCACACTACCTTCAGTTCCACGAAAAAAGAAAGAGCAGAAATCCTCGCTGATTTAGGCCCTCGGAGGTATGGCGGACTTTGCACATTTATTATTCCGGGTTTTCTTTCCACTTTTTCGCCCTTTTTTTTGGGGGGGTTTTCAACTTTCCTTCCTTTATTTTTAGGGTGTTTCCATTCTGCTATTCTTTTCTTCCCGTTGACACAGATTAGTAATGTTTTCATGTGCTGGAATCACAACTTTATGAACAAGACATAGGGAGGACAGCGGTCTTGAACCCCAGGCCTATATTGGGGTTAATCACTCTTGATGGCTGAAGTTGATCAGTTGTTGCGGCGGTCGGTTGCAAGCTCCTCAGTCACAGCAAGTATGTCACTGCCATGGGTGTTCTGGTGTGTGTTATTGCACAGTTGATAACATCCTCCTGCAGGGGGTTTGAAGCTCAAAGTTGAGAGTCAAAGTGCACTTGGCATATCCGGCGGTCAACGCCATCAAGGCCGGCTGGTCGGCTTGCACAGCCACTGCACCAAAATAAATCTGACTTCGCTAAAAAAAAGTTGAACACAATACGAGAAGAAATCTCAGTTGCACCATCCAGAAAAAAGTTGTCTAGATTCACAAAAAAAATGGGACATGATAAAAAAAAAAGTATGAAACACCGAAAACACAAAAAAAGTGCCGAAAAGTGGAAAGAAAAGGCCGGAATAATAAATGTGTAATGTGACTGCCATACGGAGGGAGTTGAACCCCCGATGTCCATTTACTATTTGTTTTGAGTCGGCACACGAGGAATGGATGATCACCATGATCCACGAGGGCTTTCTTACCTTCCGACTGGGGTCAATAGGTGTGCAACTTAAAAGTTTAGGATTAGAGGTATAATTACAAGTACTCACATTGAATTTTGTTCCAACTGAAATTTTTGCTATACTTTACTCAAAAATCGGGATGGAGTCCTTGTTCGAATCAACCTCAGACTTATGCCAACAAAAGAAGAGGGCAAGGGACGGGGGCTCTATTGCACACGGCCGCAAAAAGCTCGGCTCTCATCCCAGTTATGCCCTTGGAGGGAGTTGAACCCTCTCTGTCCATTGACATTCAACTTTCAATAATAAGGGATGGATGGTCACCATGATCAACAAGGGCTTTCTTACCTTGCGACTGAGGTCAATAGGTGTGTAACTTTCGTTCAACTTTGAATTTCTTCTGTGCTTCATTTCTCCAGAAACGGTATGTACCTGTGCAAAGTTTGTGTGAGGGCCAAAGCAGGTGTGCTGCTGCTGCCCACCGCGGCGACTTCAACTCCACAGCTCCACAGGAAAGAAAAAGAAGAGGAGAGGATATCCCTTTATGCCCTCGGAGGGAATCAAACCCGCTCTGTCCATTTACATTCCAAAATGGAAACTGTTCATGAGGAATGGATGATCACCACGATCCACGAAGGCTTCCTTACCTTGCAACTAAGGTCAATATGTAGATGTGCAATTTTGATTCAACACTGATGTTCTCTCTCCTTTATTTGTCAACTACTTACTTATTTGAACCTGCCTTGGTGCCGAAAAGGGGCATGCACTGGAACAACTCCTAAGTCAAAAAGTATCATTACAGCATCTCACTATGCCCTCGGAGGGAATCGAACCACTGCTATTCATTTACATTCAGAACACTGTTCATAAGGAATGAATGATCACCATAATCCACAAAGGCTTTCGTACCTTGCAACTAGGGTCAATAGGTGTCGAAACCAATACCGGTTGAACGAGCCGAAACTAACCCAAAGCGGATAACGGGGATCGCTGATCGAGGACGCGCGTCGCCGCCAAGCCTTTCCTCAGCTCTTGCCTTTAACTTGCACGACGCTGAGGTGAGGCTTGTATTATTCTAGCTCATGGACACCTACTTACTGTCTGTAGATAGTGCCTTTGTATTCTAGCGGCATCCGGTTCTGAGAGGTTATGAGCCCCGTACAACGCCAGTCTCACTGCGCGACGCATCCCGGATACGCTACCGAGCTCAACTGTCTCTGACAGCAAAACCAACGGCCACAGGCACTCGCAAACCCTCGCGAGGCCACGCCACGTCATCCGCCAGACATGGCGACACAGCAAGCATCTACGACCCCGATTCTCGAAGGTCCAGCAAACTACAGCCTATGGAAGCTTCGCATGGAAGGGAAGTTTGCGCGGGAGAAGGTCTCCCTCATCATCAGCGGGGAGGACACCGCCGCTACGCAAATGGTGGCAGCAGTTTCTCGTCTAGCACCGTCTCCGCCATCTACGGTGTTGTCACCACTTCCACCAGTGCCATCCGTGACTCCTTCCGCGTCCGTGATGACAGAGCTCGCGGTATTATCCATAATTCATCTCCGACTCTATCCTCGTTTCCGTCGGTCATCTCAAGGGTGCCAAAGAGACTTGGGACTTCATCGTCAATGCCCATGAGAAGGTGAACATCGCAGCGACCGCGTTCTTCACCCTTGTCTCCATGCTCGACACGAAATGGGATGGGACCAGCGACTTCGACAAGCACGTCACGAGCATCCGCACCGGGAACCTCCACCTCACAGGCAGGTCCTACGGGGTCGACGACGAGTTCCAGGCCTGGATCCTGCTCAAGTCCCTTCCAGAGACGGCACACTGGAGGGCGTTTGTCTCCCAGACGGTCAACCTTGTTCCATCCGGGGGGAAGCTCACCCTCTCGGAGACGGAGCAGCGCATCAAAGCGGAAATTGCAAACCCTCTTGTCTCGCCGGTGCCAGAGGCTGCTCTTACTGCTACCACCGCTTCGAGCTCGAACTACAAGGGCAAGAAGGCCGGTGGTCCGACCAAGACATGCGCCGTCCACGGTCTCTGCTACCACGACACAAAGGACTGCCGTGACTTGAAGCGAAAGGCTGACGACGGAGGCGGAGGCAAGGCTCTCACCGCAGATACAGACGAGTTAGGTCACTACGTAACCGCGTTCGGAAACACTGTATCTAGATCCCTTGCCAAACGCATCTCTGCTTATACTGCGAGTGAACTGAGTATTGTCCGCGCCTTTGCCCGCATCCTCGACACTGGTGCCTCAGCCCACATGGTGTCGATCCTGGAGTGGTTCATTGCAGCGACATTTAAACAGCTCGACCCTCCGAAATAAATACGTTTCGGGGACGAGAGTTTTGCGGAGGCTACTGGGATCGGAGAAATTCAATTCTTGAGCATTGTGAAAGGGAAGCAGACCCTCCTCACCCTCACAGACGTCCTCTACGTCCCGTCATTCCAGGTATCCTTGATATCGGTGCACAGACTCGCCGAAAAAGGGAATCTGACTTCCATATTTGGACGAACCGGAGGACACGCTTTCGACCGAAACGGGAACACCGTGCTGGAAGTTACGCATGACACTGGGCTGTACCACATCACCGCGGAACCTGTCATCCAATCTGAGCATGCACATGCTGCTGTTGACATCAACATCCTTCACCGCCGAATGGCCCACCTTGGCATGGATAGTCTGGCTCGGATGGTAATGAAGGGACGATTGGGGGGCATTGATCGAGTCACTGGGAAACCAAAATTCTGTGCAGTTTGCGCTACTGGGAAAATGCGGAAACTCCCGTTCCCGACCGGGCGTCAGCGGGCAACTCACCCACTTGAGCTCATACATAGCGACGTCGGTGGGCCAGTCACGCCGCAATCGCGCGATGGTTTCAAGTACTGGATGAGCTTCACCGACGACTGCAGTGGTTTCCCCTGGGTGCTCTATCTCAAGAAGAAGAGCAACGCCCAAGCTACCTTCAACCAGTGGGAGAGCGATGTCAAGGCTTTCTTCGAGGCCGAAGTCAAAGAAATCATCTGCTCGAAAAACTTCATCAACTTTTGGCAGACCAACGGTGGGGGCAAGTACACCTCAACCGTTTGGGAAGCGGAGCTCAAAGCCAGCGGAATCATTCACCGGACAACCGCCACGGACACGCCAGAGCAAGACGGGGTCAGCGAACGATTAAACCAGACCCTCGTCACAACCGCGCTCACCATGCTTGTCGACTCGACACTTCCGAAAAACTTCTGGAAAGAAGCCATGTCCTGCATAGCCTACATTCTTGGCCACCGTCCGTACTCCACAAACGATGGAGTCCCTCCATACCAGACCCTCTTCAAGCGGGTTGTGGATCCAATCCAAGTCCGTCCTTTCGGATGTACTGTGTTTGCCCTGATACCAGAGGATCACCGTGTCGGAAAATTCTCCAACCGGGCCCGAGAGTGCATGATGCTGGGATATGGCGACGGTGACGTCGGCGACGGTAAAAAGGCATACCGCCTCCTTGACGTTGAAACAAGGAAGATTTTCCACAGCAAACATGTTTGTTTCGACAAGGAGGGAGTCACCGACACCTCAATATTTGGGGAAGCAGACACGCCAGAGGGCGAGTGGGAGCAAATGTTTCGTCCTGCAAACGAGTCGAATGACGCTTCGGACAGTGGGAGCATTTATGGGGCTGAGCTGGACACCGTAGAGGTAGTGGGGGATGACGAGCTAAACGATGAGGACAATTTTTCTCTTCGGCCAGGGGGGG